AAAATTGAACACATTCATACATTTTAATTTAAACACATTATCTTGGAGTTGTGATATTTTAAGATTAAAACAAAATAGGTAAAATCTTTTAAGTAATATAAAATGGTCTGCTTATTCGTAATTAGAAAATTTAAAACGTAATCTATGACTTAATTTTAATTTATAGAGATTTTAACCTACTATACATTGATCATGAATAAAATGTATGTTAGCCTATTTTGTATTTTCATGAATAAGCAAAAGTTTAAATAATAAAAAATAAATAAAGCCATTTTATTTTAATGATTGACAGGATGAGTAGAATATAAATTTTAAAAATGTCTAAAATCATTTATTCGTCTTAAGCTAGATATCGGCTAACAGACAAAACTTTTATTTGGAAGATATTTTGTAGTATGAGATATTTTACCACGTATTAAAATAAGTGTATTCTTCTTTTTTTAATCAATCATGAATTTGTAAAAAGTAGTATTGCTAAACATAATAAATAAATAAAAAAAAGTATTCTGTCTTCAAAAACTTTAAATAAAGAAAACCTACTAGTCGTTAGCATAATTATGTGAGCTTAGGTCTTACATGTGGCTAGTCAAACTATTTGTTGTTGCTGTCGTCGTTCCCCTCCTCGGCGTCGTCGGCGACCTCGGTCCTCCTTGTCGGCTTGGCGCTCTGGAGCTTCAGCTTCTTGAAGTCGCTCATCCTTGTTATACGGACGGCCTCGGCCTTCTCAGACTCCTTAACGAGCACCTTTCCATTGAAGTAGCCTGCGCTGTACAACCTCCCCTCTCTCTTCAGCCGACGAGCTTTGCCGAGCAATGTTTTGTTGTTCGGTGTTAAATGTTCGTTAATATAAACTGTGCTGGCCGGGATAGATGGGTGGATGTCGGCGGTGTCAATGCTTCTTTTTTTCCTTATGGCAGACATCCAGGCCTCCTTTGTGCGCCTTGATGTGAACTGGATTATGATGGGCGGGTAGGCGTGCTTGTCCTTAGAGTAGATCCGGAGCCTGTGTGCAATAGAGATTTGAGCTTCGTCGTAAGTAACTCCAAGCGCTCCGGCGATGTGTTGGAGGCAGAGGTAGATGTCCTCCTTCTGTGACACCGGCATCCCGAGGATCTCGATGTTAGCAGCGCGTGAGTGCTGCTCAGCATCGTGAAGCCGCAGTTGAAGGTCGCTCACTTCACTTGTTAGCTCACTGTTGACTCCCTCCAGCTCGTTGCATCGTTCTATTAGCTTCTCATGTTCGTTGTCCAGTCTGGTAACTCCCTCCTGCAGCCGTTGCACGTCAGATTGTAGTAAGCTGACTGAGGTTAGCACATCATTTACTTTGTCGTCGATTTTCTTGTATATATCGACCTTCAGGGTCCGAATGGCTTCCAGAATAGAGTCCTTATCATCGTTGCTGCGATTAGACGCGCTTGATTTTGAATCCTCAACACACGAATCACATTTTAATGTTTTGTTTCTTGACTTAGTGAAGCTCTGCAGGGATCCAGCGCGCGTGCACGTGGCGTGAAACGACAACTTGCAGTCAACACATTTAGCCAAGCAATCACTTTCGCCGACCACTTTATTACATTTACCGCACTTAGACATGATAAACACGATTAGCTCCGAGCTCCAAGCGTTAAAAAATGAATAATTTTGTATATTAAATCACTTGTTCGGCCAATCCGGGCAGGTAGCGGCACGACTCAGATAAGCAGCGGTCGGAGAGATAGCGCGTCCGCTCCCATCGACTGTCTGATAACAACTGAACTTCCAAGCCTGTTTGCTATAATGTGAACTAGTACATATCATGACGTTCTGGCTGAACCAAGTCGCATCCACAATCCTGCAAACCTTCCGAAGAGACCCATTCATAAAGTGTAAAGCCAACACTACGACATCTGTATCCGAAGACAGAACTACGACTTAATTTAATAACTCGATTAAAAATGATCCAATTTTAATGAAATTTATCACAGACGCGTAAACCTACGTTTTCAGACAAATTCGGACTATTAAACCAGCACGATCGGACTATGGGAACGGGGGTTTATGGGGAGTTTTATGGGGTAAAAATTCATTTTTCCGATTTTCAACCCTAAAAGCACGAATTTCTATTATGACCGAAACCATTTTGTAGAGCTCAAAAAAGAAATAACTTTGTATATTGAAGCGTTTTATGCCCAAAAGCTACGGAGATAATAAAAAAAAAAAAAATTAAAATTCCCATGTTATTCTTATAGAGAATAAATAAACTGTTTTAGTTTGCTTGTTTATGGATATATTATAGTCAAATTTCAAAATGTTGTTTCATTCATACTAAGCTATCAACATTTAAACAAATATATAAAAAAACACCTCAATACCTTCCCTTGAAGCAGAAAAACTTAAGTACTCATTACAAATCAATGTCATTTAAATAGGAAATCAATCCGTCAATTTTAATATTTTAGTAGAAATTCAGCCAGGTAAATGTTTGCTGATTCTGCAGGTTTGCTGCGACGGGGGTTTTAGACCTTAGATGTAAGGAGCAATTAGTGCTATGTGCCAAATTACAGTTTTTTTTTAAGGTATTAGAATTTTTTTCTCAAACAGAGTAGAAATTTAGAAGTAGTAGAAGAGTAGGGTCAAATTAGCATAAATTGCTCAACTACTCCTAAATAGTTATATTTAGGGCATTTTTGTAAATACAAAAGTAATTCCTTATTGTGTAAGCAACATTTATTGTACTAAAAGTAACTCGCTATATATTACCGTTTTCGAGATATAAGCTCCAGATGAGTTTCATGTAATAAATGCCGCCGCCATTTTTAAAATGGCGGATTCTGAGGTTATGCCCACTCTGCCAAGCTGGCACCCACGTGAAAAATGATAACCCACATAGTACCTACATGATCCCTTAGGGTGTTTTTCTATACATAAAATGCACACGGGAACCCCCCTAGCAAGTGGATTATCAATAGTATAGGATGAAATAAATAAATTTGCCAAATTTTATCAACATATATATCCATAAACAAGTAAACAACAACAGTTTTCATTTTCTCCATAAGATATGATATTTAATTACACTATTTTTTAATTTTCTCACCGTTAGGTATACAACAGCGCTTCAATATACTAAATTATTTCTACAAAATGGTTTGAAAAGAAATTGCAAAATCTTTTGTTTTTAGGGTCAAAAATGAGAAAAACCAATTTTTACCCCATAAACCCCCGTTCCCATGGTCCGATTATGCTGGTTCCCGAACTCATTCAAGTTTATCCCGCCTACACCTTCAAACCAAATTTTATCAAAATCAAACAAGAATTACTCAAGTTATCGTGCTGATGGACACATATTATATATATATATATATATATAGATACATAAAAATTTGAATGAATGGTGTTTTTGGCCTCTGGGGACATCAAAATGAAAAAGTAAATCGGTCCCGGGCCTAGGTCTTACCATGAGACCTACGGTAATAGCTACTTTCCTATAGGTAAATTCGCTAAATTAAAAGATAATAACGTCTAAAGGAACGTATATTTCTCAATAATGTTGGTTAAACATCAAAATAAAAGACTTTTAACAATACATACAGCTGATACAAATCATTAAATTATACCATAACAAAACACTGGCACACTGATATTGAGTAGATGGAGAACTGATCGAGAGCGAGGGAAAATCAGCTGATCGATTTTCCCTCGCCCTAAATTAGTGCTTGGAAAACGAATACTTTCATTGATGTCAGCTGTTATCGAAAATAGTTACTTTTGTTGAGTGATGAAAACACTTTTACTGTAGACAGTTAGACGCTTACTGTTAGAAGATGTGATACATCTGTACACAAATAACTTTAACCTTCACCTACATAAGAGCTAAGCTTGATGGTTCGTAAAGTCAGTTACTTTCTAGATTATATTCTGTGTCAATAGGTTGCACATTGATGTTTAATAGTTCAAGCATAAGATTTTTCTCTGAAAGTTCACAACAATCTAGTATTTTTCTTGATTGTTTATTTACTTACCGAACTTTAGAAATTAGAATCCAAAATTAAGGCTGGTCCACACCGGAGCGGGACAGCGGTGGAAGGAAATGTCGCTCGGGATTTTAAAACACATTGTGATAAATGTGAGCACCCACACAAGAGCGGCGAGCTACCTTCATCCCGCTGTGATGTTCGGTCTTCCCGTCAGTTTGGAACATGTAGGATTTTCCCGCTCACACCGCCGCGGGACCACATGGCTCAAGCTGTATACTGTTTTTGTATATCCTTTGTTATCAAATCCACAAGTTCATCAAAACATGCGATGGTAATTCTATAATAGAATCGCCTTTTGTCTTTTCATTTTGACAATTTGATAATTTCATGGACCCAAATGGACCGCTCTCTTGCACCTTCATCTTTCTCTGCTGTTTCTAGCAAGAGCAAAGCTTTTTTTCTTGTGGCCTCAGATTCAGAACTTGAACACATAAATTTATAATGTAAGCATTCACTAAACACAACCACCCTGTAGCAAAGCTGAAAATGAGCTGAGGGGAGGAGTCGTCCTGCTTTCCGCTGCCTGCCGCTTAGGTGTGGGTTACATCTTTCCCGCTACGTACTGCTGCTGCTGGCTACCACTGGTCCCTCACCCATTTCCGCTCCCGCCGCTGTCCTGTTTCGATGTGGACGAGCCTTTACCGCATATCTACCACCAAATAAACTGATAACTCTTTCTTCAGTTATAATTTCTCTTAAAAAAAAAAAAACAACATGGCTCCTGAAAAAGGGTGTATTTTTGACCATCCAGAGTAGATACAACAAGACCAATCTGTTAGATTAATTTTATATGCGAACAAAACCAGAGTTTGGTCTATTCCCTAACAAAAAATTTAAATAATGTCAATGGAATAGAAAAACAGAAAACTCAAAATAATAAATACAAAGGCTAATCCATTAAAAGACCATTGATTCTGATTCTGAACAGTATAGGAATAAATTCTACGATGTGAGATTTTTAATATCTTTGCTATTCTATTTTAGCTGTCAACAAGATCTATAGAGCCTTCTTTTGGTTTGTTGTTTGGAGACCTCCTTAAACAGCTGGAAGTCACAACTACAGGAGCAGCTGTTATAATGAGCACTTTAGATGCTGTCATTAACTTCTCAGGTAAGGATTAGTTGCAGTGACTTTGGATACTTCAAGTAGGCTTGGATTAGAGTACATGATGCAGGTTACATACTTTAAAGCTAAAGATGTATGAAGGCCGAAGGCGGTATTAAAGAATGAGATAAGTGCAAAACTTGTGGTGCAGTGGAATGTTCACTTCCTAAAACTAAAACACAAAACCCGTTTACGTTGAAAATTTAACTTGACAAAGATCCTGTCCCATGGCGACTGTTTTATGGAAACTCTTCATCCACTAATCAAATAGAGAGACGGAGAACAATCTGTTATGGACAGACTTTTTGACAGCCAAAAATCAAGTCCAAATGGATTGTCTTAACCAATAAGAACCGAAGACGTATAAAGTCAACCAAGAAACTATAGATTCATTGAGACAGTCTACTAGTAACTATCATATCGGTCGATCATGTCTTGAATTCTTGGTTCAGTCACGAGTCTGATAGTGTTTTTTTCTCTTTTTTTAATGGCCTGTTGCCCTTAAAGGCAGATTACATTTTATATAATATAGTTTCCAGTGGAAATATAATCAAAATATGTATGTTATACCTCAATTATACTTTATCTTGTTGAATTTAGGATTTTGAGCCCTCAATCTGTTTGTTGCTGTCTCCTGGCCAGGAAAACAATAAAATACAATATCCATGAAACACCATTGTCTTAGTAATACAACGGTTTCTAGGATTCTTCGTGGGGCCACTGATCAAGAAGTACTCCTATCGCAAGGTCGGTTTCCTGGGAGCCATCCTCAGTGCCACAGCTCTAACAGCCACGGCCACAGCTAGTAGTATGACCCATATACTTCTCACATACAGTCTCATGGGAGGTTAGTAGTGATACGTTGTAAATTATAGCTAGAGTTGTAGAAACACTTTATTATTAATCTGTAGTCACCATTCTAAGAGGGGGTTGGTATCTTCTTACACTAGCTTCTATTCAATCACAGAGTAGACGTCTATCTTTAATCTGTGATTTTAATGTAGTTAAATGCCTGGAGTACAATCAAGTCATCTTGTTTTTTTTGCTGGATCACTGGTTTTTAAATCAAAGGGTTCATTTTAAATACAAAAATCTAAGCACATGTTCAGTTAGAAAACTTAATTACAGGTTTGAAGTTACTTGTGGTATTAACCACAATCAGGAATGACACATTACTCCCTGGTATATTAAACTTCCTTTGTATAAACTATGACTATATTTTTTTTAACCTGGATGTCTCTTTCTGCCAAGGAAGTCTGCAACACAATCTTACTGTATCAGTAATTTTTTTCTGAAGGCTGATGGCCTCTTTTAATTTGCTCATCCAAGATCCAACTAGATCTCAAAGACCTGTGTGTATAACCGTATAACCCAAAAAGAAAATCAAGGGTTGAGCCAGTATAGCACATGATTGCATGAACAATTCTTTAAGTGGCAACTGGGATCTGAACCCATTACATTGCAGCCTTTTGGTTTCACAGTCTGTTATGCTGACGAATCTCCATCTAAGATAATAATGTTTATTCATCTAATTCATCAAAATGAATATTACATAAATTTTAGTATGTGTAATAACTACAAAATAATTTTCAACAGGTCTAGGTTTCGGACTGGCGACGGCAGCCACGTTCGTAGCCCTGAACAGTTACTTTGTGAAGCGCCGAGGACAAGCTGTAGGCCTAGCTATGGCAGGGACAGCGCTGGGCTTCATGGCGATGCCTCAGGCTATCAGCAGACTTCTGGAGGAGTTTGACTTCCGAGGTACAATGCTGATCCTGGGAGCGCTGGGACTTCACGCACTGGTGGGAGCTGCCATGCTGCAGCCTGTCAAGTGGCATATGAAGACTGTTGTTGTGGAAGAAGAAGGCCTCCTGGGGGAGAAGGTGAGGTTCAAGGATTCAAGAGTTTTAATTAATTAAGACGTGAATTTAAAAAAAATCCTTTGATCCTTTGATTATAAAGAAGTAGGGTGAAGTTCAATTTTTGGGAACTCCAGAGCGCTTCTACACCACTGGATAAAAATTGACACATTTAAAGTTTTAACAACCACTATCAGGTAGAGAATAAACCTCTGAACTTTAACATCCATTAATATAAAATACCAAAATTACATTGTCAAATAATTCAAACACTTACATACTAATTTTGTATTCCTGGTTTTTCTGTAGGAAGCCAACAAGGTTCCAGGCAAGGCAGTAGGAGATGACGGCAAAGAAGTATCATCTTCACTACTTCTTCTTCCTCGCACTAACAGTGTTGCGTCGTCTGTAGCCACAAATTTCCAAAGGCAGAGCAGTCAACGCAACATACCTCGGAACAGGTACCTTGCTAGTCCCTTTCTCTTTTTAAGTTGGTAGTTACAAAGTTTATCAGTAGCTTGTAAGACCGTACGTTTACGTCGCGGCGACTTCGCGAACACGAGCACGGGCGCGGACACGCGACGGACACCTGTAGGGGATCACACTAGTACTGTCTTTGTTCACTGACCTACTGCCGAGAAGGGTTGGTTTTGCAGGATGAGAGTCTATGCTTGATTGGTTCTTACAACAATTAAAACATATGACTATAAATTTAAATAATTTAATCAAACAAAACAGTCTTAGCAATAAATAAAAACCAATCCCTCAGCAAACGTTCTTTTAAGCTGGGATTCCCTAGGCGTGGAAGCTGAGCGTGGAGAGAAGAACGCAGAGAGCGGACTCCTCTTGTCTTAGGTAATTTAATGTTACTGTTTTCCTAGAAGCGGAGTGGAATGCAATGTTAATCGCTTTTCCGCCCTCTGCTCTCCGCCTTCCATGCTCCTCATCTGTGTCTAGAAAAACCTGGCTTTAAATAGATTTTGATCTGACTGACTGGTCATATCATGAACGTGCCGATAGCTGAGTTGAAATATTAAGCCTAGTTCTTGGTTTCAAGTAAGACACATGGTTTGTCAAATACATTTTTTTAATTGGTATTGTTAATAATCACTGAGTTTCAAGGAGTTAAGGATTCAATGAGGAAAGAAATAAGCCTCTAGTTAGTCACGTGAATAAAGGAACTTTCATAACTTTTTAGAAGTTTTAGTTGTTATTTAAACCTAATTTGTTTTATATATTTAGATTTTTAAGTACAAAAAAAGCTTTATCTGAAGCTATAATTTTTTTTTAAGCTCGAATGCCAGTTTTGCTCGGAGACGGAAAACCTCAGTGATCTCGAACGTCTCACACCTAGATCTAATGGGAAGCACCATGCACGTACATGTTGTAAGTACTGTAGTTAAATTTCTGATAGTTACTATTAACTTAGTTAGTATGTAACCAATATGTAATTTATCTAAAGTAAAATTCACTCTCAAATTAGGTAAAACCAAGCTACTACATGTTTAACACACATCCGTTTCAGATTATACAATAAAATCTTACTAGCATTATTTAATCTTTTAGCTTCATAAAAAAAATATAATTTCGTGTTTGTAATTTGTATTACTTTCTGATCTTACAAACTTTGGTTTGGCCAAGGGCCCAGTCCGGTATAGTTTGGTAATATAGCACCATCTTTGTTTTGTGTTATGTTCATGATTTAAGTTAAGTTGTATGTAAATATTTATTTGTTTTTGTGTCTTTTTAGCTTTGACATTATTGCACATGCAACAAACCGAACGAGTCAGCAGTTTTTTATGAAAATGTTGATTATAGAGACGATTTTGAGATGATCTAATTCCTCAAGCTCTTTATCTCTCAGTACCAATCAAGTAAGCATATTTAATTTTAACCGAACAATTTTGCTGTAGGAAACAGACAGTGAGTATGAAGACGACCATGAAGAATGCACTTGCAAGCACACTGATGTCGAGAACGGTGTGGTCAAATCAAACAACAACACGATCAAGAAGAAACTAGTGGAACGGGAGAGGAGGAACTCAAAACGAGCCGAGCAAACATTTTGGCAAAAAGTGGTCAGCGTGATGGACTTTGACTTGTTGTTAGACATGAGCTACTTGAACATCCTCTTCGGATTGTCCATCACGTACATCGCAGAGTTGAATTTCAAGTTGATAATCCCTTTCTTCATGGCCAACCTTGGATACACCAAGAGGGAGACTGCTCAGGCGCTCAGTGTGATGGCGATAGCCGACATTACAGCTCGTATAATTATGCCTCCCATTTACGATAGACTTTCGTTCTCTCGTCGAAGCACTCTGATTGTTGGTCTAGTTTGTGTCGCAGTTGCTAGATCAGGTATGTGATCTTTTACAAATATAGAACAACGTATTTTTGCTTTAACTTGTGGTTATAAGTATTCATGTATAAATTTATATGGAATGTGAAATATCTGAATAACCCGGAGACACCCATTTTAACCTAGAGTAGACATAGATGCAGAACACTAACACTGAACTTCCACAACAACACTGGAGTAGACGTAGAGCCAATCTATTCTGGTTATCCAGATATGTTAAAAACACATCCTTGTTTATGGCAAAAATTAAAGAATTTACATTCATCAATGAAACCTAAATTGTACTAATATAGTGGCAAACTGTAGCTTCTTACAGGTTAGTAACCTGTATACAGTGCTTCATGTCTAAAACCATAGACAAAAAGAATTAAATATACACTGTCAGCCGTGCTGCGGTTACCATGGTTACCATAGATTCTGGCGCACACTGCTGGGAGCGCCGTGTAGCTATGTAGCGTGTACGCCGTATCTACATGGCGCTCCCAGTGGTGTGTGCCAGAACCTATGGTATCCGCAGCACAGCTGACGGTCTATATTTAATTCTTTTTGTCTATGCTAAAACTAAAAGGTATGGATTGAATAATTTAGGATGGCACTTGCCCATTATAACCCTTTCCCCTCCTACCTCACTCTGGTTATTTTGTACATTCATCTCAAAATTACCATGAGATCTGTCCTTTCGTATTCAGTAGAAGAGTGATGGGGAAGGCTCAATGTCTCTCTCGCAATATCCTCCCTACAAGTCTTAATGAACTAACCAGTCTTAATTGACATGATCTCTACCAAATTTGAAATGACAGCTATGACCCCTCCTCTCAATCCTCCATTACTTGTATGATTACCTTCCTCCGTAAACAATTTATTCTTTAGATTTAATAAAAGACGTTCAAAAATTTCAGCATCAGTATATAAAAAGATTTTACATTTAAACATGAAATAATCCTTTGGTAGAGAGACTGCCTGGAACAGCTTCTCTACGCTCCCTCAAAACAAATGGTCTTGGTTAAAGAAAACCAGCTGATCTAAGTCAATAAAAAATCCCTCATCTCATCCAATCTACACTCATCCTACACTCGCTTTGCCTAAAAACCGCACCCTGGTTTGTCGGCATAGTATAAATCCACTCTGATCTAATTCAAGCTTTGCCTGTATCAAATGTTTTTTCCTAGCCTCACCGAGCATTTTTGTCAGTAAAGATATTGTTGCAGTGTTGGCTGAACAAACCTCCTGGACTAATCTGATGGTTGCTCTGGTCATCCATGGATTCTTCCGAGGATTTGCTCTAATCAACTTTCCTCTGGTGATATCGGAGGCTGTTGTCCCGGAGAAGTTTCCGGCTGCCTTTGGTTTGTCGATGGTCTCCAAAGGCATCTTCATAGTCGCTTTGGGGCCCGCTGCGGGTTAGTTCACCAATCTTATGACTATTACCAATATTTATTGTGTGTCCAGGGGCTTTGTCTGGTGTAGAGGTCGTTCAGGCAAGGTTTGTTGCTATAAGTGATTAATAGTTCTGAAGGTTTGGCTTTTAATTTCTGCAGGAAGTTTGATGATGCTTTGTGTTAATGGTTCACAAGCCATCATGAGTTCGACATTTGTAAAATCTTATTCAGTATGTACCTCTTAGAAAAAAAGTAATTATGACCCTTTTAAAAAAAGACTCCCAAGAAGAAAGGATAGAACTCCCAACCATAAACATAGTATAACTAGTAATTAGGAAAATCCGTTAGTATCATTCCACCATGTAAACTTTGGTTTACGTTAAAGCTAAACACAAAAAAAATTTTATCTAAATATTTACACTTATAGTAAACTCTCTCTTATCCCAAACTCCTTGAGTCAGCGACCAGTCTGGATAACGGGTTTTCCGGTCCAAACATGTGCAAGACACAGAAATCACTCAAAATGATAGGGACCATATGAATGTATTTATTTTAAGCCAAGTATGAATGGAGATGAGTGTAGGAATCTTGTAGTCTTGTTAGTGACTAAGGCCGACATATTCCTTAGACACAGCTGTTAATAAATAGCCCATACAGCCAATGGCAACAAACAGATCTACAGTTTATCTACAGTTTATAGTGGGATCCGAACCACATTTTTGCCTTGTAATTGACGAATTGGTCTAATTATCAGGATACTGCAGATAGTCGTAGTACTCTGTAGTGCAGACGTTAACCCACACCAGGGAGCATCGCATCTACAGTTCATGCTTAAATATCCATAATTCGTGACCTATAGTAGTTGGATTACAGGACGACGCCGACATTATTGGTTATCCAAAACGGTATTGCCAAATCTATTTAGGTTCATAGGTAATTTTCTGATATAATATTAATTTCTAAGTAATTTTTTTTCTAGGTTGGATCAGGGATTTCACCGGAAGCTATACCATTTGTCTTCACGCTCAGTCTTTGATGATCTTGAGTTGTGTGATTGCCTGGACACTGGAGTACTTTGTATCCCCAAAACCAAAGCCGAAAGAAACTCAGTCAGAAGAGCCATCATAACACATGTTATTATTATTCCATGTGTATACTACTTGAAGAAACATAGGGTACAAAACGGTGCTACTTAACCCGATGTTTTTATAAGTATTAACAAAACTTATGTGTAATGTTATTGAATAATGCAATGTTATGGATGAACTGAGTACAAAATACAGTACCTATACCATTTCCATAACTGAGAGTAAGTACGAGATCATAAAATCCATTAACAAAGAAATATATTTTTAATGGTCATAACAAAACTTGTGACAACTTCCTATTTTAGTAGTAAACTGATATAGTAATTGATGGATGTCCTCTATCTAAGGATGTGTATTTTAATTTTTTAAGAAATCTCAAATAGGTACTAGTTCTGGTTGAAAACTAGAAAAAATACATACAAACCTAGTTATTTATTACAATAAGTAAGATGGTTTTATCCATCTACAAGTAGAATTGTTATTTCTTCATTTGAGATAAAAATTGTTGTAAACATTGTGTTCTATCACCCTTGATTAAGTAAGTAAAAATACAATGCAGTTTCCACATTAATAACTAGTTAAGATGTAAAACAACTTTAAAACTGTTCAGTATTTTCATTCCATGCTAGATCAAATAGTTAACCCTTTACAACAAAATAGTATAGAAGAATCTATTTTATACTAGGTACCTTGTTCTGAAAAATAAGGTAATACTTACTTGAATACTTAAAACTTGTCACGAATATTAGTAACTCACATTGAGTAAAACTTAAATATCATTCTTTAAACTGTGCCTTAATCTTAGACTTATCACGATAGACTATGATTTTACTGAGTACTGATAATATTTTGCAATATCAATTAGAAAAGATTTGTTCAAATATACCTTTTAAGCAGTAAAAATGACTAAAATGGTTTTAGATTATATAATGTTGAAAGTTTACCAATGTTATAAGAATTATTTTATTCTTGAGTTTGGAAACAAAATTTACAAGTAAAATTGCAATTTATATATCATAGCCAATTTAAATATTATACAATTTAAATATAGTGTAATACTGTTATTTCTTGAAATTTGATTTAGACAACACAGTAATTTTGAGGTTACCTTAATCTATGTTATCAAATTAAGTAATGGGCAGGCTATTTGTTGTTAAAAAATTACATCATTTCAGAATAAAAAAGTAGGACTTAAGTTTCATATAATTTGAGTCTTGAGACCTCAATCATGAAAATGGGTTTGGTAGAAGAGCCAAAACAACTCGGAAAAGAAAAACCAATTTTTTTTTAAATAGGTATATAAGATAATTTCTGCACTCTATAGTAATTTATTTTACAACAAAAACTCTAAATCTCTAACAATGCATTTTATGTGAAAAGCTATACTTTGTAAAACAATGTTGTTTATATCAAATCATTGATTATAAAATGGTAAAATTTGTGTATTCTTCCGAATATTTATTCTTTAAAACTTGTGTTATCTTGTAACTTGTTTTTAAATGAAATTATTCTATGTTGAATTATATGTGCCTGTGATTTATGTATGTGGTATTAAAGTAGAATAAGTATATAATAAATTATTTTGTTTATTTTATTATTTATTAATCAAAACTACCTACTCTTAAAAATAGGCCACATGAACTTTAATAAACATTTGTACTCTGGTTTTGTTTTTTTTAAATAAGGTAACTTCAATAAAATGAGGAAATGAAAAAAGTCAACAAACATGTAAAAAGACAACCACTTCCAAGAAAAAAACGTAACAATTTGGGGCATTTTATTATCACTTTAAAGTATGCAAGACTGTAACCTTTAATAAAACAAAACTCTCAACTGCTTTCTACAACTTACTTATACTTTATACATCAAAACTCTCAACAACAACAAAAACCAACCTTCCTTTTCCACTTAAAACCATCAATACCCCTCTACAAAATATTATTCACCATTACAACCGAAACATACAAAACGTAAACAATAAACATAAACCAAACTATTAGTCAGCTGATGGTTCACAACTTTTCTCGCTCTCCTTACCCCCTTCATAGACAAATAGAATAAATATAGACCGTCAAAGGAACATTTCGGCACCCACCGCTAGGAGTGCCGTGTAGTTACGGCGAACACCTCTGCAGCGTCTGCTGGTAGCATACCGCTCCTGCGCTCCTCGCCTGCAGCGGTGTAGGCCCTAACTACACGGCACTCCCAGCTGTGGGCGCCGGAACATATGCTAACCACAGCACTGCTGCCGGTCTATATTTATTCTATTTGTCTGAGCCCCCTTTTGAAAAGTTTAAAATTATTAAATTAGCTGAAAGTAATACATTTGTATGACTTTTATGTAAATAGAACAAATATACAAATAATTTAGACTTGGCAACGAGTGTATACAATCATTTAAATAGAAATTGTGTATAATATACACATGTGTGTCTCAAACAAGTAAGTGAGGAAAGTGAATTCTGTGCTGGCTTAGTGTTATAATTATACCAATTCCATCATGAAAAGATAACCCGTTTTTTTGCTTAGGTACACAATCTGCAAGTGTACAGTAGTACCCTCTAGAACTATTCTGGAGCTCCTACTTATATCATCATTATCTGTATCTAAATTTTGAAAGATTTTTATCACCGGGCTTCAAAACAAATATAATATGTCTTAACATCATTTATTCACAGAACCATTTTTATAATTCATGCACTTAAATAAGAGTTGTCTGATTAATGTTTCTGGCTATATTGATAGCTACACAACCCCATTAAGACGTACAGGGTATACGCTTTTCTATATGTGAAAATTAAAAATAAAACGACATTGATTATTAGAACCCAGTTTTATTAGGTACTTTTATGTTAACAAAATATAGATAGTTGGTAAACAATATCAGACCAACAATCTCAAACTACATAAATAGAAAAAGTAACATAAATGTAAATAATATAATAGATACAATCACAAAAATAATATTCAAATAATTGTACTACAACCATTCTATACAATCTACTATCGGCCCACTTAAACACTTTTAAAGCTCTTAAAGTAAATTTCCTGAGTACTAATCCTCAACCAAACTGCATCCTCTCCTAACAAATATAAAGTATAACTTAGCTTGTTTGTCTTCGGTGGCGGCCCCTGAAATACGGCTGTGCGGGGCCCTTGAGAAGCGTGGGGCCCCAGGCACCGCCTTGTTCCCCTATATGTGACCGCCTCTGCTTGGTTTTAACACATTGTGAATGCGTAGCTATAAGATCATTTTTACCATAAAATGGTATCATAAAATAAGTTCAAATAATCCATATAGAACAGACATTCAACGTCTTTGCGAAAACATAAAAATTAATTTCCCTCTCCAAAACAATACAACACCTACTCCAACAATAAAGAATAAAACCGTTAACTTTAATTTTTACAACACAAAACACTTCAAACTTTCCAACTTCAAACAATCTCCTTAACGCACATGTTACAGGTAAACTTAAGTCCTACACGTTATCTCGCCTTGAGTTTCCGCTCATGCAGAGTGACAGAGTTACAGATGTCGTCTGCACACATGTCTTTGTCCCCCCAACCCCAGACACTGTGAGGGAAGGGGTTGGTGTAAGTACCATCTCCTGTTCTCTTGGCTCTTTGTTGTACCATTTTGAGCGAGGCGCTCTTCAGGTCGTGAGCCCAACCCATCTTGGCGCAGAAGTCTATGAACCTGTAAATATAGAGAACTGTGAGAATGGGGCGTTAGTCAATTAGCTGACATGATCGTAGCTATGAAAATGCAGTTGACATTATTTTTTGGAGTATTGCCTGAAGAAAGTATGTTGAGAGAAGTTATAAAACCCCAGGCACTATTGGTACATATCAAAATATAGACCTTACAGTTATTGAACATCTTGTATTGGCTAGCGTGTTATTCAATATGACTCATGCAGTTCCCGGGTAAGAAAGTAACTGCAGTAAGGGGCAACTTAATATGGGGGGTAGCACATTCCTTGTCTCTCTCTCCTCTACACACATTTTCCATATCAGGGTAATAACCTTCTTTCCATATCGTGCTGGTCTACTTGCCAGGCTGACTCTTGTGTTTGCAGTCTTAAAATACAGGGTACAGGTTAAAACTGTGTTTGGCACCTTCCTGGCTCCTATTAGACACTAAATTTCCCGTTGGCCGTAGTGTAGTGCCACTCGGGTCCGTTGTCATAAAAACCATACTGGTGTCTTGACAGGACCACTATCATTGTGGATGATGCCTAGCGTAAAACACAATCATTCAGGAGGTTAAAGTTCACACCAACAATACTTCACAACGAAAAAAAAACTACTCTCAGGACAACCATCGCCATTTCATTGAAAAGTATTAAAGTATTAAAAGTAACCATATCGTTACGTAGATTTGAAATATGTAGAGATTCCAGATATATTTCTCCAAGAATCTTCCGAACTTTCACTGTTTACCTTGTGGTGAAGTTGAACCTAAAGTATCCGAGCTCGGATGACCGGTAGTCCCAGGGGAACGCATGATGGTAGTTGTGCCATCCTTCACCCAGTGTCATCACTGCTACTGTGACGTTCTCCCTCGGCTCCATGTTGCTGAAAGAGATCTGTATCATTAATTAAGAAAGTAAGTACATTCACTCTAGGTACAACCTTTGACTATTGAAATAACTAGACATTAAATCCCCATGTTAAAATTGTCACCAGTTTTAAAAATTTACGTAGTTGAGTTGAGCGACAGACAGATTGCGCTGATAGAGTAAGTTACCGTTTTCTGTCAAATATGCAGACACTTTAATTTTTAACCAAGTAAAACTGATTAGGACGACTTATTGTAAGCTATAACTACTATCTCAGTAACAAAAATAAGGCAGGGAATAGAATTTTAGACACTAGTGCAATCTGTGACTGGCTCCCAGAGCTATGATCTTTTATGAGCTTTTTTTATAATAAACGGTATCAGCAATCTGACTCATACTTTCTCTCATTAGCTTGACAATAACCTAATGGGTAAGCGGTGGAAGTGACTATGATATTTTATAGGGAAAATCACAAAAATGCAATAACTTTTGATCCGTAATTGTTTTAGCAATGGGGGGGTTGCACTATTTTATTTATAATTTAAAGGACCATAACATACTAATTTTAATCAAACTCGTTTTTTTCTAAAATCAGATTTTTTGTTATTTTATGGGTTTTTATAGGAAAATAACATAATTTACAATTACTTTTGAACCGTAATTTTTACGGAAATGGGATTTCTAAAATTTTTTTTCAGAATTAAAAGACTGTAACATACTCGATTTTTATCAAAATTGTTTGGGATATTTTAGAGAAAATCCGATTTTTCCCTTATTTCATGGGTTTTTATAAGAAAATCACCATTAAGAATCTAAATTTCAAAAAAATATAAGAACTCCTGGAGATATCATGGATAAGAACCTACATACCAAATATCATCAAAATCAGACTACAGGTGTGGTCTGTAGCTGTAATACATCCACACACACACACAGACATCACTTCGAAAACCACTTTTTTGTGTTCAGGGGGACCCAAAACAAATATATCCACTCAAAACTCAAACTCAAAAATTGTGTTGAATACTTTCTCTATACACTATGTATAGAGGGAGAAAGTACAAATTGACAACAGCTAGCTGGTCCATATACAGTAGATGGGATGTCTGTCTACTTCTGTTTCCAAAGGTCAATGTCAATGTGTTTGAAATTTGAAACATGTACAAATCAAATGTGAGGTCTCCATTTTTGGCACCTCAAATGTTAAAACTGTTAGGCTCAGTATGTATTTATGGAGGATAAGTGTAAAAAAGTAGTTTGCATCTTGAATGCAAGAGTTGCATTTTGCAGTGGCTGGTTCACATATTTCTAGACTACTCGACCCTAGCAGGGTGAGTCGCTGTTAACGTGTAACAGACTAATGCGAAGGAAGACGAAAAAAATCTATATATTTACTATTTTCATGCAGCCACATTGATTACCTTTTAGCTGCACCAGAATTACTTTGAACAATAAGTCCAGGAATCAAACTCAACACTCAAGTTAAAACTGAGGCGGCCCTACATATAGGTGAACAAGGCGGTGCCTGGGGCCCACGCCTTTCAGGGGCCCCACACGGGCCGCTTCTGAACTTAGCCTTTGGGCCGCCACTGAGATAGAAGTTAAACTAATTAATTAACAATAAATTGTTATAGGCAGTTGAGGTTTAAAAATATTTAAAGTAGCAAAGTAATTCTTGCATTTTACTTGTCATAAGGCCTGGCCCCATAGAAGTGAGCTGCGCTGTTCACAAGCCACACGCAGTTGAGCAGGTAGACATATCTGAGCATTGCAGACACGTGGAAGGCGTTGTTCCACGTCTCGGACCAAAGTAGGACAGGAACTACCGTGGGGAAACCAAAACACAGCAGGGGCATCAAGTACTTGTAGTATCTGGGGAACAGTTCACCATATTATGGAATACCACAAGAGAATTGTCTAGTATAAATTTGAATAGCGGTTTGCAAATCCTAAAACGGAAACAAAGTATAAGTCTGTTTATAAAATGTTTACTATAGTGAGTTAAATAAGTTTGTAATAAGTTATGTCTTATTATCTAAAATTGTCTTGAATTCAATTTTGGCATTCCAGATATAGAATTGATTGATGACCAAACAGCAAAATGTATGTTGTTGAGAAAATCACGATATTATTCTTACAAACACTAGACAGAATGCTATTTATGCTGCACTTAAGCCAAGGAAAACAAAATCAACAAGAAAAGAAAGGGAGAAGAGGGTTTATCATGGGAAAGTAATTAAAAATCTGCTCACATACTTCCTCTGGAAGACGAGCACTGGATCTTGCAGGAGGTCGGACATGTCGATGGTCTTTCCCTTCTCGATTACGTCAGGATGTTTACGCAACATGAGCCACCCAACGTGGGAGAAGAAGAAGCCTCTCTTAGTGTTATGAGGATCTGCGTCGGTCTCGGAGAACTTGTGATGAACTCTATGGTTCCTGGCCCACTCGTAAACACTGTCCTACAAGAAGTAGTTGCGTTGTTATATTTATTTTTATTTTCTTAGTGTTAAAAACTAAATTTTTCTGAGATTTTAAAATTGTAGGTATAATTTAGGTAATATGAGGGTTCCCCATGAATTATAATCTACAAGCACCAGTAATGACCAAGCAGGCTGGTTCAACTTTGACAACAGCGCCATGTTCTAGCAAGCTGGATCACTTTGTGACATAATAAATACTGTTTTATATTTTATTGATAAAAAATTGATGTAAAAGAAAATCAACACATTATTAGATGTCTATGGTTGAGGGGTCAGTGTACTTAGACGTTTTCAGTCCGTGAATGAAATAGCCTCAATCCAGTCCATGAATGTTTATAAATAAGTCTCTGCATGCTTTCAGTTCAGGTGGTTGGAGTTCCATTACCTGCCTAAACATATTCTACTGGTAAGAAATAATGTAGCAAAGGCACAAAGGTCAAGTAATTAGAAGATATATGATGTCTAACCATTGGTTGAATTGATCAAATACATTATTTACATTGTTTTGTAGGACCTCCTCATAAAAACTTATTTTTTTACTGCAGAAATATTTTTGTACACACCAATATCTGCTTTGCTTACCTCAAAAGCCATGCTGTTTAGTATCATTAGAGCAACCCTGAGACCGAAGTTGGCTTTGAAGGCTCGATGAGTCCAGAGTCGATGAGCCCCACAAGTAACTCCAAGACCAGACGCAATGAAAATGAATATGGCTGAAACATGCAACATTAAGCATATAATATGAGTAACCAACCATGCGTACAGTGAAATCACACATCTCTTCATCATCTACTCTTCTCTTATACCGGTACCATAAACTGTAATTTAAGACATATTAGATGTAACAATCAATGGCAGTCGATTCTGACCAGCTAGTACAGCTAGGGGTTACCATCATCTAGGGGTACAGCTAGGGTTTATCATCAGGCCTGACCAGAGTCTGAGAAAATCAAAATGGCTTCCTTTCTTACAGCTTAGATAAATTTTTGGCCGATTAAATGATTTTATCGCGGTAATGCAATGCTATAAAATCAATCATACTTACCAAACAGAATCGTTGCTAATTTTGCACTTGTCAGTGCGAGATATAACCCGTAGAGGGCTGCAAGATGGAAGTATCCCAAATATGCAACATTCTTCCAGACGATCTGCGACTTGAACTTCTTCTCTCCCTCATAGTTCTCACTAAAATTGTCCGTCAGAGGTTTTTCACCCTGGCACCCTGTGATGCCATTGGGTGGAGTCGTTTGGGGAGGCATGTTTTACACCATTCTGGAAAAAAAATCGTTTTATTGTGGAACCTCGTTTTTTGGAACCAAAGTCGTGGTCTTTGGTTGAACCGGAAAAGTTATTTTAAAAAATAGGGATGCGTTGCAGTCCTCCGCCTTTAGAAATCAGAACAAGCTACAGTTCAACTCAACTGAAGAAAATACAATTAAACATCAACACAGTTGAATTGAAGCAACACATGAAACATCGGACAGCGTTTTCGCTAGTGTTCAACAATTCAACAAGATTGAAAGTTTCCTTTGTCTAAAGAATATATTATTATTTATTAAATAACAAAAATTTTAAAACTACAGTTTCAAAAACGAGTCAACAACTTTTTATATCTTAATAGAAAATTAACAATATTCAACTTGCCAGCATGGTTCTGATGTCGTTCTTTATTAAAAGACATAAACAAATTATGTTTTTTTTTTTTAGAATATTTGCAGCGCTTGACTGAAACACTCAAAGGACATTTCCTCCTCAACTGACCTTTGTATTTCTCCATTTAATGGACTTTCATTAAATCCATTGAGTTCCTTATGAACTCTTTTACCCCAAGACTCGGTGATGCAATACAGATATTTACTTTCGTTTAAATTTATATCACATACACAGTTAGAGCTATATTTGAACTGCTTTAGTTGGTTAAAGGGTAAAACTTGGAATTATTTTGGTATAAGCCAAATATATTTGATGGGAGATTTTCAAATAACCAAACTTGTGTTTTTGGAAATTGGACCTTTTTTCCTTGGTTTTGCTCAATTGTTGTACCTATAAGTTGTGTATGAGTAATATAAATTAAAAATATTTCAAATATAATAATTCCAGGCACCTCAAAATAAATGTAATGGTCTTTCAAAAACTGTACGGCACAATGAAATTTTACTACCCTTATATAATATTTACGTTTAAAAAACATATAATGGTTATTATTATTGGGATTTTCCTAATAAATATTTAATGAATTGTATACGAATCTAAATATCCAAATTTGATGAAAATTATACTCACAGTCCAGTTCTTAATGCTAGAGACACTAACGGAGCTCTAAAAACAATATAACTGAACATTTAAGCAGGTATTTGAAATTGAGATTTATTCAATTAATCAACCCAAGGGCAAAGTTTGTGCTCCGTTCTCAATTGGACTGTGAAACACGTGTCATGCGTACCTATTACGAATACACAACTACTTAAAACATCCTCAATAACGATGAGATCTTTTATAATACTGTGGGTTATATCTTTTAGCAAATTACCCATTTAGGGAATAAGCTTTTACCAAGATAGGTCTCATGGTAAGACACCTGGGACCTTCACGTTCATATATATTTATATATGTGTCCGTTAGTGTGATAATTTAAGCAAAAACCATCCGATTTTGATGTAATTTGGTACAAACGTTTAAACCCAAGTTTATTCAAACAGGTTTGCAAACCAGCATCATCGTACCATGTGAACTAAAGCATAAAATATTTTGAATTTATTTAATAACGATTTCTTAAGAGATATTAAAATAAATCAAAATTTAACTAATGATAATACGCGACCAAATCACGCACGTTAGAACGAACATGTTTCTCGACATGTCGGCGAAAGTTGACAGGTGATGATGTGAGGGGGGGGGGGATTGATGATATGTCCAAAGAATAGCTTATGGGGTGAAAATAGATTTTCCCCATTTTTGACCCTAAAACACAAAACCTTCTTTCAAAACCAGCTTAAAAAATAAATAATTTTGTATATTGAAGTGTTGTTGTATGCCTAACGGTTACGGAGATAATTCAAAAAAAAATTTAATTTAAAATTCCCATGCTATTCTTATGGAGAATAAATAAAATGTTGTAGTTGGCTTGTTAATCTATATAAATAAAATTAGAGTTTTGTCTGTACATTGCTCAGAATTATATACTTTTAGGTTATTTTTACGTTTTATACATTAAAGAAGCAGAAACGAGTCTTATCTCAATTTCTGTCTGTCTGTCTGTCCCTTTGTCTGTAACACTCAAGATGGCATTTTACGCAATCTTCTCCGTGAAAACCAGAGTACATATCAAGATCCAAGTTATTTTAATGTATTCACTGGATTGGCGAGAGTGTCTTTAGTGATTTAAATATAGCCTCACTACTTTGTAAATAAAATTACGGACGTTCAAAAATGCAGTTTTGTGCGATTTTTGTCAAATTTTCGTTCAATTTTTATCACATAATCGTCTATGAAATAACGAACAGCTGTTCGGATCAAGATTATTTTTTCTAGCTGTCAATGACATGTTTACAAAAAATGTTGTTTACAAATACCGCAACTATTTCGAATCACGTTTTGAAAGCAAATCCCAACCAAGTGAGATTAAAAACGTTTTTCTTACATAACGGATTTAATTAATCGCAAGTGCAATAATATAGTCTAATAGTGTAACCGTAAATGAAATTAAATAACTAGACATCGTCCAAATCGGAACCAGAAATTCTTTGAGTATAAAATGTTTCTTGAGTTTTGACAACCAGAAAGAAGAATACCTTGAATCAGTGTTGTATAGGGCTGTGACACTGAAATGATCGTCGCCAATAGCTTACAAAAAAGGTTTCCACTCATTGACGGCGCTTCAATGGCGATTGTGTAAAGTGTAAAGTAAAAAATCACAACTGCAGTGGGTGATTGTAACAGAGGTTTAACAGAGGAAGTGCTAAACTCGCTTTTCCAATGTGTCACTTTCTGTTTCTACTCACCGTGTGATGCAATCGCTGGACCATACAGCCAATAGGCCCATAGCTCATATCTTGGGTACGTAAGCCTACATATTTATTCATAACAACCTTTTTGACGACGATCCTTGATACCGGTACTTTTCCATAGAATACATGGCCTACCTACTTAAAAAATAAAATTACAAATGACCAAACCCCCAACATTGTGTGATTTTCGTCACATTTCCTTCTAATGTTATAAGATATACTAATCATTGTTTAGAGAATGCGTCATCTATTAAATAACAAAAAGTTGTTTGGGTAAGGTTGCTTCTTTTTCAAACTGACACCGATAAGTTTACGCTATAACTTTTTACGAGAAAATCCAAAAGCAAGAGATCAATAACCTCGGGACTAGATATTAATGTATTTAATTGGTCCGATTTACTGTAATTCTTAGGTAGGTTCTTACGTAGGTACTGGTTCTTTTCCTTAGAACCGGTAGTTTACAAATTAGATATCGTTGGTGTTGCACCTTATTTATTAGAGCCGTCTGTATTCAATTTAAGTGATGTCTTAACTCTGTATGAGTTTTGCTTTTTCTACCTGGATTCCAAATCTTAGCTTACCCAGTATGCTAAGAAAATGATAACCTATTTGAGTAAAACATTTGTTGGGCAAACCATCATGAATTGTTTACGCCTTTATATTGTTTATGTATCAATAGTTCGTGGCCTTTGTTGGATTGTTGTATTGTGTTGTTTTGTTGTATGTTGGTAACGCATTAATGTCCTTATTTCTCAGTGTTTCACGGAATGGACAAGAGCACCTTTGATACTGAAAATGTCAACCGGAATAAAGTGTTAAATGGTGAGGTTGAGGTAGTACTTTAAACACGTTTAAGTTAACCGATGTGGAAAGTAACTTTCAATTATAGGCCTACTTTAGGGCTACGCTTCATGGATCTATAAAACATTTTTAAGTTTAATCATTGGACATATGGACCAACACGATCCGGGTGACATTTAATTGCGAAGCATTTATTTTGGCTTGAACTGTCAGATACTGTATTTGCGAAGGTTTATATATAATAGTTTTGCCAGCATATCTGCAAATATGCAAACTAATTGCTGTTCTTAATCTTAATATAAGAAGGTTTCAACTGACTACTATAAGATCCCCGTGCGTAGAACGGGCACACAGCTAGTTGATATATTTTAATCAAATTTGGCAATTTTGTTTATTTCATACTAAGCTATCAACATTTCAATAAAAAAACACACCTCAATACCTTTACGCACTACTTAATGCACCGTAATAAGCCTGTCAAATTATTCAATTTTATTAATTAATTATTCAATATTACGGTGGGGTCAATTATTACCCCACCGTAATAAGCCTTAATACCTCGTAGCAGCAAACTTAAGTACTGACTAAAATTAATGTTAATTAAATAAGAAATAAATTTTGAGGGAATATTTTAGTAGAAATCCTGTCAGGTAAATTGAAATTCGCTCAGTCTGCAGGTTTGCTGCGGCGGGGGTATTGAGACACTGGGCCCTTGCATCAACGAAATTTTGTTTCTGTTATTTGAGGGCTAATTTCTTGTTTTGTGCTTTACTGTTTGGTTATAAAACTAGGGCACGAGTATGATGAGATGGTATTATTTGGCTCAACAAGGTTTTAAATGACTGGAATAACAAGAAACAAATGGTAAACAAAACACGACCTCAACACTGCACCCAGAACTAAAAAAAATTGTCTTCAGCTATTCCATAAGGATGAATAATCTACTAGGGAGTTTGGTTACTAATATTATAAAAATGTGAAAGTTTATGTGTTTGTTTGTTTGTTTGTTTGAAGTTCAATCACGCATAAACCACTGGACAGATTTGGCTGAAATTTGGCATGATGATAGCTCACATTCCTGATTAACATATAGGCATATTCTTATCTCAAAAATCCTTTCAGGCTCCGCCCCAGTGGCTCTGTAGTACCCCATGTTAACATTATGAGTATTCATATTTAGAAAGAATTAAAGAATTTAGTCAGCTGTTTCAACTAAAAAAGTTTGTATACAAAAGCATTAAAAAGTTATAAGAATTACCAACAGGGCGTAGCACTATATTTTTTTTGCATTCCTGTAAACAGCTAATTTGAACTAAGCAGAAATAAAAAACTGTGATACACAATGAGAACTGTCAAAGTAGGATTGTTTACAGTTATATTTATGTTTTTAATGTCATGAATAGTTTGTGATTTTTGGCGAATTTTTAATAATTTATTTGTCTTTGTTGTTTAGGGGAAGTGGTAGAACTTTGCTATGGTAGATATGTAATACCATAGTATACCGTCAATTTAAAGAAGCAAATTTTATCAAACTTTATCCTCCCCCATTGCAAACGCAAAGCTTGAGTATAACTGCAATAAGCATTTTAAACTTATATGCCAACCCTGTACGAAGGACGGGTACTCTGCTAGTAGTTGATATATTGGGGATAGTGGTACAGCTATTCTAGGATTCTACACCTGGTAATAGTAGGTTTAGAATCCTAGGAAGGTCGGTCTTTCCCATCATGCTCTGCCAAAGACTAGAGAACTTCTCAATTACTGCATACCAGGTCTGATTGAGACAGGGTTAAAACCATTTACCTACAGTGCTGATTCCTGGCTGGAGAGGCAGCAGAATAGACTACTCAGCTTTGATCAGTATTAACAGTCTACCATAGTGTCAACACGGGTAAACGGAAATCCCAAACAAAGTGACTTAGTTCTTAACTTGACTCCCAGGTTGAAGAAAAGCTCATGTATTTTATCTATCAGCTGTTCTAGCTTTCAGCTGTTTTGTTGAGTTACACTGCAGAGATAGTTTTAGGTGAAAGTTTGCTTGTGTTACTTGGCTTATATTTCAGTCCTTGGAGCTCAAATAAGGGTTAGAATAGATGAAAAAGCACAACCAATCAAAGTCTCAAACTCATTCAAAATTCATATAATTTTAAAAGTTATAAGAAAGAAAATATTAGAAAAGGTGGTATCGTGAATATAAGAACAAATATATTTTGAAACTACTTTGACTTGATGATTATAATTTAAAACAATTAAAACTAATAGATGATTAAATGTACTTGTGCTATATAGTTTTCCTATGACACAGGTAAGCCTTCACCAATACTCTAAAGTATAATGTACAGTGGCAATAGGAGACACAAATAGACATTTTATTATTAGAAATTGATGTGTTTATTTCCCAATTATATACATGCATGAAGTACAACAGATGTAGTATAGTTGTATAATATAATCATATCATTATATTATGCACTAGTTTGTTAAAGAATAACTAAAGAAGGTTCCTTCAAACATAATAAAAATCAATATGGACATTGAAACTGGTACTAGTTAAATAGAATAGTACTCATGGCAAGTATTAGGTTATTCACTAACCTTACGAAAACTAAGGTATAAACACAACAATCTAATACTAACAATAATCGCTCAATGTGATAACAACTGAACAGAGTGAAGATAAATAAGTAAGGTCACGAAGTCAAGTCACACATTATCACAGAGCAATGTGCGAGATTCCAAATTACTTAACTACATTAGAGAAATACAAAAATAGACAAACACACATAAATATTCACACCTCCAAGACGAGGCCACACATTTATTCCAGCGCATAGCCTACTAAATACAAAAAGGAACATATATCACTTTGCTCTGCTAGCATAAATAACAAAATAATATATCAAAATATTATGTACAAGACTAAAATTAATTTATGTGCAAATTCGAATTGAATTTTATACGCTTTCAATTACTGCGCTAATGTGATGGAATGCTTGACGATGAGTCTATTCAGACTTTTTGTTGATGATTGTCGCTTCGTCTTTGTCCTCCTTGGGCATATCCTTGTCGCCCCAGCCCCACACTTCTCCTTTGTGGGAGTGAGTTTGAGAAGCGTGAGTGCCGTCACCTGTTCTCTGCACCCTCTTCTTGATCATGTCATGGGACACTGTCTTGAGGTCGTAGGCCCAGCCGATCCTGGACATGAAGTCGATGAAGCCTGTGGTGAAGTTGGCCCTGTAGTTGCCCAGCTCCGACGTCTTGTAGTCCCAGGGGAATGTGTGGTGGTAGTTGTGCCATCCCTCACCCAAAGCTCCAATAGACACTCCCAGGTTCTCAGATGGGTTGATGAATCTGAAAACACACCAGGTTTAATTTTGTGTCCTTTAGTAATGAAGCTTTAGGTGTCAAGTGTCTCATAGCTATATGAAAATGCAAGGATTAATTTTAGGCTTATTCTTGCATAAATTTGAGAAGAAAAATCAACAAAAACAATATGAACTAAATTGGATTCATTTTTAATAACAATTCAGCAAATTTGTAATATCCAAAAGATACCCAGCAGGAATAATACTTCCTGGTAATGTCACTCAGTAATAGATTGTCAAAAAGTGCTGTCATGCATGAAAATGTCTAAAGAATTTGATATAGTTAATTATTTAATAAACATTAAGAGTAAGTTATTTGTTGTGTGAATGCTTTGGTAGAAGACATCACTGCCGGAACATATCCTTCCCAATTAGTTAAGTTGTAGCCAATTTTAAAATGAAAAGGAAATTGAAGAAGTATTTTGTTGTGTTATCAATTATCAATCATTGAGATGGGGACGCCACCTAGGTGTGTATGTTAAACCACAGAGTGTGATTGTAGCTTCTATAGTGCATTATTCAATATTTCATGTCCCCATCAACATTACATACACCTAATATGTAAACTTAAAGGGAACAATATAACTCCAATAGCAGAAGATCCTATGAAAGGTTCATTAAACTATGTTCTCATTGATAGAAAACAGGCTACGGCATGTCCATATAGGATGTCTAATTCAATACCCAAGGTCAATATTTGATGCAAGTCTAACCATTTGATACAAAACTATGACTAGAGTCGGGACCACGTAAGTTTGCAGTTGAGGGAGGAGCCTATTTACCATATGGTTTTGAATGGACCAATGAGAACCGTGTGGTGTTGCCAAATCTAATAATACCAGCTGATTTGAAAATATTGCTTAGTATATTTTACTAGTGCGATGTGGCTACGTTGCACTAGCCTTGTCTTGTGATTGGCTGCCACCAACTGCATACTTATGTGGTCCCGACTCTAATTATTAGGAAAGTCTAGAAATGGTTTGAATCACAGTTTTTTCATTTTCATCAGCTGTCAGCTCCACAACAAAAAATATTGCGCAACCGGAAACAAAAGAAACATCTGATAACGCATGATGGACACATCAGAGATTTGATCAATTTAACTACCAGTACTGCATGGAAATGTGCAATCAGTTTAATCTGAACCTTGATAGGAAATTTGGGGAAATAACAAATCATTATTTATTACTAATAATATTTTGTTAGATTTGACAACAGCTTTGCTTTTTAATTTTTGTTCTGGTGTTGACTTTTAGCTTTGAATTTATAGATAATGAAGTGGACATTCCTCCTATACTGTATGAATGAGCTGTATCTTTTTTTATAAAAAAAAAAAACATAGATGAATACCACAACACAGATCTCACGACTCTAAAATAAAATTCTATTTCCCTTCTAATTTTTGTAACTGTTTTTGTGAGACATAAAAGTTGCTATAGTTTAAAAATCAGTAATTCACATCAATACGTCGGTCAGCTATGTTAATTTCCAATCTAAAACAGGCTACAAAATTAATTATAGGAAATGTCTGGTTCTATCCATAGTAAAAAAAAGCTTTCAGATATCAGGTTAGACATTTATGTGGACTTTAGCTAATTATTTAAAAAGTAAATCAAGGTGAGTGGACCACTGACGGAGTGAGCTACAGCAAAATCTTTGTTCTGTCCCCAAGTTTTACCATAGACAAAAATAATTAAATAAGACCGTCAGCTGTGCTAACGGTGTGCAGCGGTGTGCGCCAGAACCTATGGTAACCGCTACCATAGGTTCTGGCGCACACCGCTAGGAGCGCCATGTAATTACGGCCTACGTGCTACGTAACTACACGGCGCTCCAAGTGGTGTGCGCCAGAACCTATAGTAACCATAGTAACCACTGCACGGCTGACAGTCTATATTTAATTATTTTTGTCTATGGTTTTACATATAGAGGCATACAGTGATACATTTGGTAGTTTACAAGATATAAATTCCTCGCTGCTGTTTAACGTCCGTAGACTCATGCAGGTTTACATCTATATAGTACTTTAACATACTCACTTGTCGTAAGGGCGATTGCCCCACAAGTGGGCGGCACTGTTGACCAACCAGGTCATGTTCAGGGTGAAGGTGTAACGAAACAGAGCTGCGACGAACCAAGCGTTGGTCCACGTCTCTCCCCAGCCGTAGACGGGCAGCACAGTGGGGATGAGGAAACACACGATGGGCATCAGAATCAGGTAGTACCTGCAACAAGGTATCTTATCAGATTTGTCCTCCATGAGTGTGACATCTGTTAGGAAACATGGCTTAACATATTCGTTGCAGCCTGTCAATGGCGGGCGTAGGTGTGGCGCAGCGTCGAACAAACCCGATTGGCTTTCCAATATTTCGGTCTGACGAATAGCAAAAATAACGTGCAGTGAAGTGCTGCGTTACGAAGACAGTTGACGTAGTTCGCTAAAACACGAACAGATAACAGCACTGCTTGTAACGTAGCCGGTTCCGGTTGTATTCCCAATTGGAGGGGAAAAACGGGACATAAAGTAAATTTCTAAGCTTGCCAGACGGGGATTTTACTACCAACCTACACCACACTTATAGACTGGTATTAGAGACACAATACTAACGCTTAACAACCGTCCTCGGCTAGATCCTGAGCCTTTATAACTGGGCAAACAATGCATTGTGTCCCCTGTGACACCGCCACCTTGCACCACGGCAAGCCATGCGTCATCACCGGGGACACAGCCGCAGAGAATGTGTTAATAGCAAAGGTAGCTCAGTGGTAAATGTTCCACTGAAGTAAGGCAGAACTAAGGGTTGGTTGTTGGTTCAAGATCGATTGTCCAAACGATTGCTTCAGTGAAAGTGGGCTCAGATAAACCATATAGGAATGATCTAATAGAAAAGTGTCAATATTTTTGAACTATTTCAGGTTTTCATACGTTTACGCAACTATCATCTAAGTAAACCCTACAACTTCAATAGAAAGAACCCTATGTGTCAAACTAAAAGGTAAAATAGGGACAAGGCCAAGGGCTTGATTTGTAAGCAAACCGCAGAACATCATTTCAGGACCTCTCTCTAGTTTTTTGTTATTTCAAACTATTTTCATAAATAATTTTCATAAAGACTAAAGCGGTTTTCCTACAAAGTTTTCTAGCTTCTGATATGTTTCAGTTCCATTACCCCAACGTCTACGAACCAACCATTATTTTTGTTTAATATAAGTGCAAGGATGCCTTCCTTGAGATCTTGTACCACTTCACGACTACATATTAATATTGTACTGGTATGGTTAAACCTCAATCTGACTGGAAACAGAAAAAATCACCTTATTCCAAGAGAACTTAAAAGAGAGTAAAGATAAAAATTAAGCCAGGGACAACTTACTTCTTCTGGAACTTTAGTAGAGGGTCATTCTCCAGGTCGCTAATGTCCAGTCCCTTTCCCTTCTCAATAACATCGGGATGTTTGCGGCACAACAGCCAGCCTACGTGGGAGAAGAAGAAGCCTCTCTTAGCGTTGTGAGGGTCTGCGTTGGTCTCACTGTATTTGTGGTGCACCCTGTGGTCTCTAGCCCACTCTATCACGTGGTTCTGCAATACAAATACAAGTTACCATCTATGAACAATATTATGCCCCACACACACTATCGAAGGTCGCCGGATCTGACCAGATGATGGACCCAAGCAACCTGACATGTCGGGTGTTTCCACACTGTCGAGCATGTTACCAATCAAGTCGGGTATAGTATCAGTTTTGCGATAGATTTTGCGACGACTGTACAATCTCTTAAGTTGTAAGACTACAGAGAAGGCTCGAATACCTCCTCTTGACCACTTCCTGTTTTCTTAGAGCTTTCAACTTTCTGCGGAACGAGGAATGTTCAATCTTAAATGTTCAATTTTATTTTTAACAAACTTTAATTCACACTCTGGATACTGTAGGCCCTACCTTTACACTATTCCAACAGGTTACAGTACCCCTCTTTACGTGCATGTTTATTACAATACAATTTACGTTTTATGTCCCACAACGCCTGTTGGTCTCTGTACAGTTCAATGAACTCTGACCAGATTTGTTTATCATCATTAAATGACATGAAAAGCAAAGCGGTTTACAACTTCACAATTCACTTATTGGGGCACAACTGGAAACTGTGGCCTAGTCGGGCGAGCGGCTTGACAGTTTCCCACACACGTTCCAAAATGTCAGGAGGATGGCTCGAGTCGGATGGTGCTTCCGGACCGAGCACTGACTCTGACATATCCGTCAAGCATGTCGGATTGATTAACAGACTGTCTAATATGTTCGACAAGACATTGGATCCCAACATGCTCAACCAACATGTTTAATAGTGTGATGGGGGCTTTAGTGACATTGTCAATAGGGGAGAAGCAAATAGTTGTATATCATCAGATGAAACACAAAACTACAAGAATACAACTGTTATAACTACAGAGAGCTTCTAATAATGGTTTAAAATTTAACTCATGATAGTACAAAACTTATAAACAAGATTTTAGGTACTTCATTTATACAATGAATGTCCCTTGTCTGAAATAATTAGATAAGAAAATATTTCCTAACGCTTTGTTACAATGGAATAGCGTTGTTACATTAGTACTATTATTGAATTTCTTAACAACTCTAACACACTCTGGTATGTAGTAAAGACTAATGGTGGATAGGCAGAGTAGAAAGAAAGCTTTGTCATTGCCTGATTCATTATACAGGATCACTTATTAAAATTCTTATAATCAATGATGGGATCAGAAATGTTTAATTCAAATCTTGGATTTACAGCTCACAAAAAATACTGAATATTTTAAGTTTAAGATGGACTACATAAAAATGCTCCATAGCTCCTAGCTTTGACTCCTATAGCTACACTTCTAGAAGCAGATCACAAAACACATGGTTGGTTATCAGTAGTCTTGTGACTGGTGATGATAGAAATTCTTAACTTTTTTTATTAGTTACAATCAGCTGTTAAAATCAGCTGATTTGACTATTTATTTTATCTTATCTACCATAACATGTCCTGCTGTATGCTCTCATATGATACAATTAGGGTTTCTCATCATTAGTTTTAGAATACTAACCTCGAACGCCAGAGTGTTGAACAGCACCAGCAGCATGCGGAGAGGAAGGTTAGCCTTGTAGGAGCGGTGGGCCCAGAGTCTGTGCGCCCCAGCGGTGATACCCAGCCCAGAACAGTGGTACAGGAAGATAGCTGCAGCATAGTTATGTGTGAATTATTTGTATCCCTCAAGTAATTTTTTTTAATTACGGTATAAAATGTGTGGAACTTGTTTGTTACAGAGGATTATTTAGATAGATATAACACCTTAAATATTTATTAAGCCAATGGTGAGCTTTTGATAATTTTGATATAAACTTGCAGTTGAACCTCTATAAGACGAATTTTCAAAGGGTAGGGGGAAAATTCGTATTATCTCGGGTATTCTTAGTAAAGAGGTTTGTTTTATAGAAGCGGTTTCTCCTTGCTCTAAGACAATGACTGAGGAAGGAAGAGGGATGGGTTAGGGTTTCTGTTTGTTTTGAAATCTACGTAACTATGAAGGTTAAGATAATGAGAAATTCATCCTATAGTGAATTCATCTTGTAGAGGTTTTGGGCTAAGAATATTTGTTTTATAGAGGTTAATCAGTCCTAGCCATAGTGACAAAAAAATTCGTCTTATGGAGGTTTTTAACCTAATTACTATGTTGTAAAGAGGTGTTTTTAGCATTGACCTTTATGTAAGCCTCAAGGGGATTAAAAAAATTGTTTTATTGAGGAATTCATTTTACTGAGGCTCACTAACAACTGTACCACAAAATGTATAATTTGAGTAAATTTGGTATTTATTTGTTTGTATAGGATAGGATTGGACATATGATATTTTATTTATGCTATTTCAAATATATGACACGTCCTTCTAAAAGAAAGTCCATTGAGTCTAAATTGAGTTGGGTTGGTAAAATCTTCACAGCAAACAAAACTGACCACACATTGATATTCAGAGATTTTACTATTTTCAAATTCATAATCACTTAACCTGCCTAAGAACTCAACCTATACTTTACTCTCTTCATTTAGTTTCCTCTCAAACTCACCCCACAACACTGTAGGCCAGGAGGCGGAGGTTACCATGAGGTAGGCTCCGTAGACGGAGGCCGCGTGAAGGTACACAAACAGTATGATGTTACGCCAGACCAGCTTCATCTTGTACTCGGGTCCGGGCAGCTCCTTGGGGTAGCCATCGTACTTCTGCATGGACGGCAACAGAGGGTCTAGGGTCTCGTCCTCGTAGAGGACCCCCGTGGGCATACTCGTCACGTTGGGTGGCATTGCTTCTACAACAAAACATTTACTTTTATTAGAAAGAGTGTTCATAAGCTGAGTAGTAAACTGTTTTCCACAATTATGATTCACTATAGTCCGTTCACAAAATTCAGGCGGTTTGAGGAGAAGTTCACCAACTACTTTTTTGTGTAATGTATATATGTTGCAGCTGATAGACGTCTTAAACCTCAGCTGTTGGCTATGAGGATCAAGTGTCAAGTGGAGTGGATGGATTTCTTCCCCTAAAACTGCCAAATTTTTGTGAACGGAGTGGCGGATCTAGAACAGTCACAAGGGAGGGGCCAACCGGGGGGACTGGGGGGTTCGGGGGTACCTCCCCCCCCCCCTGAAATATTGGTCTCCAAAATGGCAGCTTTATACCATTTCTTTGTCCAAAGTTAGTGTGGCAAATTAGTTTACGCAATGTGTACTACAGTATTAAATGCAGTAAAAAAAATATATTATGAATGCCCAAGGAGGGGGCTGTCGCCCCCTTCACCCTCCTCTGGATCCGCCACTGAACCGGAGTATAGTTTAGCGAGGATTAGAGTTGGTAGTCCCGTAAAATTGGCCTGAGAGGACAGGAGCCTTCTGCTGAGAATTTTTAAAATGTTGTTAAAAATAGTTAAACTTATCTCTCTGAAACTCATATTATATTCTGTATACATGACTGAATACATAATTGAATAACACTTTACAGCAGACTTTTCAAGTACCTAATATTGTCTGAAGATTGTTTTATATGTATTTCTTGTTTGGTACCAGTACCTAAAACAACAACCAGATGGATTTTTCATGCTTGACAATATGTTTTTATTTGACTCTACTCTTTGGTAATAATACCAGAGGATGAGCAATAGTTTGCAAACTGATTGTTAAATTTGGTTAAACAACAAGTCCACACTACTGTAAATGGTAAACTACCTAATCATTAACTAGATACCTATTGAATGTCTTCAAAATTGTCTCCAGCTGATCCATAACGTTGAAATAGTATCTACAAGAGAATATGAATCTTTATCCTGAATAACAATTTATTAATTAGAAATATTAAAAAAAAAACATATTTGAGCTTGTTTACTAGTGGTTGCCATTGAGCATTGACTTCAGCAGAGTTAATATTTTATGATACTACCACATTTACTAGGTATAAGAACATTACATAAAGTTTTTAAACCAATATTTTGTGAACAATTAGGCTATCTTTACTAACTTATCATAAGTGATATGGATCATTCATTATCATTATCATATGGATAAGTTAGTAAAAAAAATTGTTCACAAAATATTGGTTTAAAAACTTTATGTAATGTTCACTTAGTAAATGTGGTAGTATCATAAAATATTAACTCTGCTGAAGTCAATGCTCAATGGCAACCACTAGTAAACAAGCTCAAATATGTTTTTTTTTTTTTTATATATATTTCTAATTAATAAATTGTCATTCAGGATAAAGATTCATATTCTCTTGTAGAAACTATTTCAACGTTATGGATCAGCTGGAGACAATTTTATTGAGACACCTTCTTAACGCAGGTGTGCCAGTGAGTCGCTGATGGCTGCGTCAGCGACTCACTGGCACACCTGCGTTAAGAAGGTTTACGACTGTTCATGTTCAGCCTTTGCTTAACATATTTTTTCCATCGGCTTAGCTACCATTAGCCTAAGTTCTCAATCGATTAAACACCTATCTTTGACAATGGATTTACAAGGAAGTATCTAGAAATTTTATTCCTTTGTTGAAAGTTGTAGCACAGACAATGGAATAAACCATTAAAGTATTAATTGTCTGTGGTTGTAGCTAGTTTTGTAAAAAAAACTTATTTGATTGAGCCATGAACAGAATACAACTAAGCCATTTTCTTACTTGTACTTTAGAGGAATAATACAGTATTATAAGAGTAGGTCTAGTAATTTTGTATTATTATACTGAGCATGTACACTTCTCAATCATTAAATTTGATTTTTTTAATTTTCCCTATAACTATAAATGACCGCAAAAAACACTTCAATATATTAATTTATTTGATTTTAAACACTTTAAAAAGGTTAAAAAATAAATTGAAAAATTTTATGTTATGATGGTCACAAATTCAAAAAATCTATTTTTACCCATAAAACCCTGTTTCTATCATCCAATCATGCTGGTTCGCGTTTCCAATCATCTCTACATCTTCAAGCCGAATTTCATCAAAATCAGACAAGAATTTAATTATACTCAACTTTAACTCATGGATGTACCTATACCGTATTAACTTAGGCCTAACTTATAAACAAAAGAAAATATCATTAAATAAAAATTTGAACGAATACTGTACAGGTTTTTGGGTCCTAAAGAACGACATCAAAATGAAAAAAGTAACTTATATCGGTCCCGGGTCTAGATGAACCATAGACTAACCAATTAACAAGGGGAGTAAGTTATGTTTTATCCGGTCTTACCTTGCCACCTAAGTTAATAGCTACTTCCCTATCGGGAAATTCGCTTTAATGTATATTGGTCCCAGATTTAGGTCTTACCTACGTTAATCTACTTCACTATCGGGAAACTCGCTGAAAAGTATATTAGTCCCGGGTCTAGGTCTTACCATTGACTATACACCTAGTAGAGGTGTACAGTCAATGGTCTTACCGCGCCTCCTATGGTAAATGTTACATCCCTATAGGGAAATGTGCCAATAATGGATATTTTTATTTTGGTAAACTTTAAAGCCCTCATATTTTTTTTAATTCGTATTTATTTTGTCATAAATAATTTCTTAACTTCCTAATCTACGTTTTGAAATGTTTCCAAAAGTTAAGTTAATTAGTAAGACTACAAAAACTAGGTACCGTAACTTACAAAGCCTAGATATTTGGTCTAATAATTTTAATTTATTGTTTGCCTGTTAACTGTGCAAATAATTAAACTTATTAAAACTCCCATCAATTCTTTACTCAAAGGAAAACACTGTTGAATGAGAAGTTCGGAAAAAGCTTAGGTTATACATTGTTATAAATTGTTTGTAGGCTACCTATATTGTTCAATTTCCACTTTTTCTCTAGTTTTCATCCTACCTATTGTATGCATCATTCACGGTTTGATGTTGTAAAAATCATCAACAAAGTTGATACAGTATCCATCCAGATGTAAGATTACTATTTTATTGATTTTGTGGCAGAAATCATTTTTGAAGTACAATGTAGAATAAATTCACAAATTGTACTGTCCTTGATCACAGGGCTTTTTGATAAAATATGTGAACCAGTTAGTGTGTGACAAAGCCGTAATCTAAACTCATTCTACACACTAGAGAATCTAATCTAATTAATTATACTGTATTACAAGTTTAAGAAGTGATATCAAAGATAAATAGAAAATTAAGGTTATATTTCGTTGTAAAAGTTAAAAATTAGAAATTTACCACTTTAAAGGTTTTGCATACCGCAGATCTCTTACAAAATTACAATAGAAAAAATCTGAAATACGTTATCTAGGCCTAGTTACTTACAATAAAAATCGCAAAATTTGAAATATTCACAGTGTTACACAGTTACTTCACTATCTTGAAACACTGAACTTGAACCGTGCCATAGATAACAGAAAGTAGAAGCGCGATCGTTGAACTGGACCTAGCACAACAGACGACAGAGTAGCGGGCAACGTAGCGCACAGCGGTTTAGTGCGAAAATGATTCGCGTCGCGCGACCGCGCTGCTCTCTGATTGGCCAAAAATCGTCAGCCGAGCTCACCTGATTCCCCCCCCCCTCCCACTGGGTCGCGTGGACTTCTCACGACGATCCTCGTATCGTATCCTTCCTTCCCTTCCTTCCTTCCACGTCATACGATGACTAGATAAACCGATAAACGTTTTGGATATGTGTCAGTGTCAGTGCGTCGTCCTATTTATTATGCTCTCCTTGATAAAATTAACTACCTGTATCGGATGATAATAGGTTTCGCAATGACATTTTTACAAGTACCGAAAGAAATCGGATAAGTTTTGTATTTTTATAATCTTTTACACAGGTTAAGTGTAGAACTAAAATGCTTGATTATTATTAGAAAAATGTAATTGTTGGATGATTTATAACGGGAACATCGAGAAAAACATTTTTAACATAACGTCGACTTTTACCATAGTCAATGCTTTTACTAAACCTCAAAATAATACAAATTTTAAGAGTTAAGTTATTAACGAGTTATTAAGTTACGAAGTTAAGTTAGCCTATTAATTGACATGACTAATGCAAATTTTGTATTTGTTATTTTGGTTTAATAAATGAGTTATGAGTTATGAGCTAAGACATTCAGGTGCCCATTTGAGACATTTTGTTTTATTATTGTTGTGTTACTATTTTAATGAATAGAAATACTGTAGTTCGCATTTCCAACCAATGGCATTGATCTTACATTGTTTATTTGAAGAAAAAAATATGTTTTGCAATAAAATGTCATTATTTTTTTCAATTAATTAGCAATGCTGTAACAATATCAAACATCACTATCGCAACAGTCTTGCTATCACTAGATATACGCGCCTTATCACAAGTACTCTAGACTGACAGCGACAACCACGTGACTATGGCGGTCACGTGACCTTCACCACGGTTTTTGCAACCCCCCCCCCCCCCCCCAACCGATCAAAACTCACTCTCACCGCTCTCCTGCGCAAACGTCGATTGATGAAAAGTGTGAGACTATTTGGTAAAATTGTCTCTTGCGGTATTTCATGATTTTTAGTGGCATAATCCAACAAGCCTATGCTCCAAACGGTCTCAACACTTTTAGAAAATTCCAAAGGAATTATTTATAAAAAATAATTATTACAGCCATAACTATTTCTTATGCGATCTGAACACGACGGAATAATTGCGAATACGAAATATTGTTGGATTAAGGTATCAATTGTTATAGATTATATTCGTAGATTGTTTTATCATAGTCAAATTAGGTTGATGTCAATGTGTTGTTTTGAAAAGTAGAAATGTTTCTGAAAATATTTATTCAGTAATTTATTTTTCAGACTTGTAAAGTTGGAAATCTTCTAACTACTCTTTATGAATCTTGGTGAGATATTGATGGACTATTATTCAAAGTTAAAAAAAATTAACCTGAAACCTTTGAAGTTATCCAAAAAAATTATACATCATTCATAATGGAGTAGCCTATGTATAACCGATTACGATAAATTAATTGGTCTAAGTGTAAAAAACAGGCATAAAGAAATAAATCACCTTTAAACAACAAAGATAATTCCAAAGGCAACCATGTGAAAAGCTGTGTTGATGTCCCACAGGGTTCTGTTCCAATTTATGTATTGTTAAATTGATCGCGGATCTACAAGAGAAAGTAGTCTGAGCATAAAGTGCGTCTAAAATATCATTCATCGTCAAAAGGAAAGTGCTAAGTTGTATTTCGTCAGACTTTCATTAACAAACACAACGGACATTGTGAACGACAATGCCCCTTAATAACCGTACAAATATTTCATAATAGATTGGTGGTGTTCGAAGACCTCCCCCCCCTCCCCTCCAATCGATGGTTATCTAACATAACATGTTCATTGTGACGTACTCGTCCCGAAAGTGCTTTTCATGCATTTATTAAAAGGATAAGATGTTTTACGTGATTGATAATTGATTGATTGATACGTCTTTTCTGTAAATTACTTAATTTACATACATAGTCTCAACAATCTACGACGTAATGAAAATCTGAGAAGCTATTTGAAAAATACTTTGAAAGATAGCTAATAATTTTGAAATATTATTTATTTTTGTTTTCTACAGTTTCGGCACAATTTTAGATTTTTTGTAAGGAAACGGCCCATACCTTTGCCTTGTTACACAAAACTAGGTAATTACTATTTTGGTAAAGGAAAAAGTTTTGAATCACATACAATTGGTATTGTTTGATAATAAGACCCCTTGAATCTAGTGAGATATTTATTTGAACCAGCTCGGAATCGAACCAATGATCTTCAGTTTCGAAGGCAAGCACTACAACCACTCGGCTACTTAAACCATAGTTTAAACATACTCCCTTACTAGGTTACTAAACTCAGCGCAATTAATTTATCACATATTATAGCCGGACATTTATTTAGTACAGCTGAAAATCAGATATAGGTAGTAATATCTGACTCTTCTCTTGGCATGAATGGGGAGTGATTCATTGCAACATGTATACAAGTAATTCCTGGTTGGCAACCCTGATAGGCACAAAAATATACCACTTGGGCCAACAGTCCAAACTTTGACTTGGCGCGCCGTCAACATAGTTGAATCACGTGATTATAGCGTGGCAAACAGCTGATTGGTATCAGCTGGGTAATTGTTGCTAACCTAGCTGTCAAAGTGATAGATAAAAGTATGAATTAATCAATTGGCTGTCAAATTAATCCAGGTGAACCAGTGAGTTAATAGGTTTGAACGTGTTGAAAAAGCATGGCGTAGGCCTACTACAGTACCTAAAACTTAAAACACAAAAATGAAAAGCTCTATTTTAGGAAAATAATGTACCTTTATTTCTTATGAGCTGTATCAGTGTATTAATAATATAATACATTTTTATAACTACTATAATAAATTACAATAAAAGCTTAAATTTTGTTTTATGTATAAAGATGTCCAACACTGCACGATTTCATATTTGGTTTTAAAAAACCAACAACTATAGTACCATTAATATGTATTATTCTCTTAGAAGAAATTTTATTTAGAGAAGATATGTCATTGCAAATTATGAATTTTAATACAAGAGAATGGGTAGCCTATTAAACCTTTTTTGAGATTATGGATGTCTACAAATACTAAAGTATAATAAATAAGATCAAATAAAAATTCAGAATACCAATTTCCTGTGAAAAACAGTACATATATTATTTTATACCTATACTTTATTTTATAGCTTCAATGACATTTCCACAAAACGTGATGAAACCCAAACATATGGTCGAAAAACTGAACAACTAACTGTCATTAGAAACTAAACATCTGTAGAAAAACACTTGGCAAATCTATACTTATTTAATACGCAAGCAGATTTTTTGTGACAATTACTCCTCCGAAACTACTGAACCGATTGACATGTTTTTGGTGTCATTGGAAAGAGCGTAACGTGAAGTTGTGCAGGAAACTTTTTTCATAGGGAAATAATTAGAGAGTGAGGTCCTGGGGCCCTTTAAAGTTTCGTATTTCTCCATAAGATTAACATGGGAAACAAACATTGTTATGAAACTCCAGCTGTTGTCAGAAATGCAGTTCTGCTATTTAATTTGATTTGTTTACAAGGAGAATTGTTTCTTAGTGACATGTGGTCAATAAGTTATACTTTTGCATATATTTTAAATGATATACACTATATAAAATGATGGTACTGTATACATTAAGAGATATTCATTTAAATAATCAGTAAGTACGATTGAGCCTTTGCCTATATGTTTCCTGGTAAGTATAGTATCTTAAAGTAAAACCAAATTATTCTTTTCTGCATTCTCACCCCGTAGCGAAGCACGGGCAGAGCAACTAGTTATTTAAAAAATGCCAGCACGCAACAGTTGTGTTTTGACAAGGTCAGTTGAAATATTTCAGTTTTCAAATCAAGTTTTGTGTAAAGAAATGTTAAATTTCAACGTAAAATAATTCAATGTATCACAGAATAAATATTGTAATACCAATATCCATATCAATATCAATATAGACAATTGCTGTACAAAAAATATCTCTTTATAAGACTTATATTACAAGTTATAAAATGTTTTCTACCAACTTAAAAAAGTTTCGCACTAGTGTATGGAAGTAATCGGCAAGATATGACAACGCAAAACATTACGTAATACAACAGTGTTGTGGTAATTAAATTCTGCGCCAACAGTTATTGGCACATTGTGATCGCCTAATATGAACTTTATTGTCTACCACATTTGCGTCATTTGTGTTTCCCGTTACATGGGCTGTTAAAGTTTGACAGTAAATATTGATTTTTAATCATTTTTCTGTCATCGTGACGACATACAATTTTTACAATAAAAAACAATTAATTGTTCCGTAAATGTTCCATAAAGCAACAAAGTAGCATGGAAGTTCACAAATGGAAATGATACATATGGAATAGATTCATACAAATATGTTTGGGGAAAAATACAAAATACGACATTATAATATGACGAAAACATCAATCCTTATTACTATAGTGGCATAATATGCCATAATTCTAGAAATGGTTCATAATCTCATTAAACCTACCTTGTCGTTCTGTGTATTTGGTGTATTAGTGTATTACTGGAGTACATGTTGCTCGAATTCGAGCAATTGCAAAGTATTACAGTAGTTATTTGAAAACTAATAACACTCATAATTTCCATAAGTTTAAAAGAGTCAACTAAAAGATTATTTAACTAATGAAAATACTAACGATGTCCATACCAGTTCGATATGATCAACATTCCTTGTAAATATTTTATCATTTTGAATTTAGTTTGTGCCTAAACGGTCTTTTACTTTATCCCCATATACATAGTATATGGAGAAAGTATTGTTTATGATTTTAATTAAGACTTATACAAATTAAGATATAAAAATGTATTGTGAACTGCAAATATGCCTATAGTAAAAATGATTACTACATGATTCGTTTTG